GGGGGAGGACGTTGTGGAGAGAGTGGTGGCACGGGTGGATGCTGAGGCTCTGCACGGTGGGCGATCGGCAGCGGATGTTCATGTGGAGGGCTTGCAACAGGCGGTGGATGAGGCTGTGCAGGCAGAACGGCGGCGAGACGAGGGTGTGGGTGACGCACGATGTGTGGTCCGGGAGACAACGACGGGTCTAGTCGTTCCGTTCTCGGGTCTGCACTTGGCTCAGGGCCGACAGTCGCAGCCGGTGTCGGTGGCAGTGCATGGTGTGCCGCCGCCCGTTATCACGGATTTGGGGTCCGAGCCGGTGGTTGCACCACCGCGTCTTCCTAGTCACTTTGCTCCGCAGGAGGTCCACCGTCCTTTGGATGCAAACGAGTTGGCGAGAGAGGCCGTCCTCGATGTGACTCGCTTGGACCGGCGGGTCTTTGACCAGAGGCTACAGCATCCACCATGGCAGGCGATCCTGCATCGCCGGTGTGGTCTGGGTCTACCTCCACCGGAGCACGTACGGGGGGAGATGTTCCAGGGGTTTCAGGTGGCGTCGTACACGAGACATGCCACCCCCTCCTCCTAGACCACCTGTAGGTGATCTGTCATCGTCGCCCATAGGCAGAGGCTCTCGATCTCCACACACGCCTGGGAGGTCTAGGATTCGGGACACTACAGCCATTGTGGGGGACGTGAGTGACACAGCGTTGTTCGGGAGGACAAACATAGATTTAGATTCCACCCACCTTATCACGGAGCACACTGCACGTCTACAGCCGGGTTTGGGACCCTGCGGCGGCAGGATGACCACAGCGAGGGAGGTGGCAGCGTCAGGTTGTGAGCCTCAGCGAGGTCGCGACAGAGGAGTGTCCGCCGATAGCTTGGAGTACGCTCTGATGGCAGCGACGCATGCCGTACATGAGCAGACTCCACGCAAGCGCGGAGTGCCTCCTCGTCCACGCCCCGTGCCCACAGAGGGAGGAGATGCACTTGGAGAGACTTCGGGAGCAGAGGGGTTGAGGATGCCTCGTGGATCGCGCCGTGAGCAGACGGTTACAGAGGCTAGTGCGAGGGTTGTTGTGTTGAGGGAGGTAGGCGCCCCTGTCACCATCGAGGAGGATGATCCTGAGACAGATGTGGCAGTGCGGGAGGGGGACGAGGACTATGAGGGCGAGGAGGAGGGAGAGGAGGAGAGCGAGAGAGGTTCCGATGGTGACTACGACCACGACGAGCACGAGCCCCCACCTCCCCCACCGAAAGGTACAGCCAGACGGCGCGCTGCGCAAACTTCTTCATCATCACGAGGGAGGAGTTCGACATCTGACACGCGAGGGGGTATGAGGAGACAGAGCGGGAAGGGGAAGAAGCGTCGTTGACTGATGAGGCCAACACTCATTTTTCCCCTGCTCGCACTGAGGTTCGTCATGTTGTGCGGTCCTAGTTTTTTTGGTCGTCTCATCTTGTCTTAGTGTTGTTAGGCTCTCAGTGGTTGTGTGCGTGCAGCGTGCTACAGATGTATTAGATGATGTTTCCTTTGTTTTCAGTGTGTATGATTTTGGTACCAGTATGGTGTTCGTAGAGTAGCGTTGTACCAGTAGGGTGTTCGCAGAGTAGCTACGACACGACTTGTACACTACAGTTTCGTTTGTTTTTTTTCGACATGTGGTACCACTGCCTTAGCAGTAGCCTGTAGGATACACTGCATATGTTGCATTTTTCATTTCTGTTTTCAGTGAGAGGTACTTTGTGTCGTTGAGGACTTTTCATGCACAGTACATTTTCCATGTACAGTTTCAGTTTCGATTGATGCTCGTCGTGGTCGGCGTGCGCGAGCTTTCGTGAATATTTTCATCTGGTGTGATTTTATATATTCATTGTTGTTATCATTTGCAATCTCATTTCGTGCGTTTAACGCCGTTTGTTTCTTGTACAATTCTACTTTAGTTTTTTGCCTGAAGAGTTGCTTGTGTGCTTGTTCTTTCTTTTTTTCTTTTCTGTGTGGATTGTTGAATCAAATTATCATTGTATGAAGTACTAACTGATATTTGGGGGGGGAGGGGTTGGATGCGAACTGGTAAATGGGGGGGGC